TTCTAAAACAACAAATTTACAAAATTTCTTTGAAAACAACATTTTTAGTTTTATGTCTTTTACTGTTTTTTTCTTCTTTGATGATCTGTACCTTGATAAACGTTAGAGAGTGAACTCTTGAAAAAGCAACATATAGTTGTCCATGGCTGAAAACTGGTTGTAGTAGAAGTAGTCCTAATCGATCGAAGATCTGTCCTTGTGATTTATTAATAGTCATAGCAAATGAGAGTCGAATAGGAAATTGATGTCTATGGAGTTGAAATGGTAAAAATGGATCAGACGGTGTTAAAGTAATTCTTGATATTAGAACTCGGTTTCCTTTGTTAGATCCACTTGCGACTTCACAATCAATCGTGTGATTTAGTACGCGTCGCACAATCAGTCGAATTCCACTGCATAGACCTTGATGAATGTTGAGGTTGCGAATAGGCATAACAATTGCACCGATCTTTAGCTTAAGTGTATGAGGAGACATTCCTGATGGTGTAAGACTATTCAAAAATTCTGTGGGATAGTTGATAACGTCATCACCATCTTTACATTCTACTTCATCCACACTTGTATACATTTTTTCTGTTCCGGGTAGTCATTGAAGAACTTCTTCATTGACCAAGAGAGAATGTTCATTTTTGGAACAAAGAATTGTTCTGTCGCATAGAGTTGGAACATCTTCTATAGAAATGTGTTCGCCAAAGATCTCGTCGACCAAATTACCGTTTAACATACAGGAGCTAGGCAATTCGATTTCATCATCTTCGTTCGATGTTAATTCACTATTGCCAAGTTTAATAAGCCACTTTGAGAACTCTTCTTCACCTTATCCTGTTCTCATGTTCTGGTGTCGATGTATGACTTTGAAGTAAGACCAAAGGTTGGGACTTTTGAGACTTGATGCAATTAATTCTGATCTGTTTACAAATCGAATGACTAGAAGAGCTTGTTGAAAATCTCCACCGAGTATCATAATTTTTCCTCCAAAATGTGCATCGATGTTCATTATATCTCTCAAAAAAACATCAGCTGCATTGAGAGCATGAGATGGAGCCATAGGTGCTTCATCCCAGATAAAAACTTGAGTCTTTCTAATCTCTTCAGCTTCCTTACTGTTTTGTCGAATACTTGATGTAGATGTTTCTAAGATAGGTACGGGAAGCTTGAAACGACTATGCAAAGTTCTTCCTTCGGGCGATAAACTTGCAGCATTTCCTGTCCATGCAACTGTCATAACACGGACTCCTTGTCTCATGAATAAATGGTACAGGGTGTTATAGAGATAAGTTTTTCCTGTATCTCCAGGGCCATCGATAAAGAAACATAAGCTAGCAGTGGTGCTTGATTGTTTACGATGACTTGCAAGAATTGCATCTGCTACCGAACGTTGATGTTGATTCAACATTGTATACATTTCTTGTCCTATTCGAAGTTCTTCTTCTTTGTTGATAATTTTTGATTCAAATGAATATGGAACAGATGTTGGTGATGGTATACCAAAACCACTGCAACTTCGACCTTGTTCTTTCAGCTTTGCATCAATCGTATAAAATGCCATTGCTTTTGCCGTTTCGCCATCCGCTTGTTACATGAAGTCCTCGGCCATATGTGCTTCAAACGAATTCCAGAGGTCTACAGGTTTTGTTGGATTACAGTATAGAAGTATCACACAGAAAAGTGTTCTTAGCTGTTGTAGCATCTGAAAGATAACGGCTTCAGACATGCATCTTTCATATTCAATATCATCATGTAATAGACCTTGTCTTTTAGCAGCTTCCAGAAATGTTTGATAGACTTGGCCGTCTACTGTTTTGAGATCATCAAAATTACGGGCACTAGGAGTATATAACAGTAATAATCGAAGATGGTAACGTTCTACATCACTGGGGCTGACGGAGTACATTCTACCGATGACATTTTCGCCTCGTAGTCGATGCTTCCATGTTCCATTACGTTCAAAAACAAAGTATTGTGGAATATAATGGTAAAGATATCGTTGAGCATCTGGTTTTTTGGAATTTAATTTGAACCATGCAGGAAGTGTGGTGTCTTTCATAGCAGCTCTTTCCAATGCTTCTCGTTCGTTTTTTTTATCAAAATAAATCGGCTACTGATTTGGAAGATGAACGGCTAATCGAATAATACCATGAGATTTGTCATGTAGTGCAAATTCAAAAAGTCTCCATGCAGCTTCAGGTGTGCTTACATATCTTGTATCGAGATGTGCTTTAATTTCGTCCAGTTTCAAAGTTTCTTGAGCGACAGCAGCACCTTCTTGAATTGATCGTTGTAATTTAATGTTAGCACAATCATGCCCCTTGTAAATGTATTTAAATAAATATTTGATACTTTTGACAGTTGCACAAATTTCGACATTAATATGAGCATTGTATTTCATTAGTAAATATGGATTAAATGGAACTATCCATCTATTGTCAACTTCATACTTGCCAATAGCCATAGTAATTTCATTATCGCTTCTTCGATATCGTCGATATCCATCCGTATTTGCTAGAGTATCATTTGGAAATTCTTTTGGAAATTCTTTTGAGTATTTGCCATCTTCCATACGAGAAGAATGTGGGTTTAATGTTCCACATGCTCCATGAATCATATGCCTTCTCACACATTCATATAATCGTGGAAATTGAACAGAATCTGGTATTTCACTGCAGACGATATGGTCAATGTGGTTTTCATCCTTTGGCTTATCTTGGTCGCCCAAAATAATAAGAATGTGACAATATGGTAAGTCACGCTTTTTGAAATTCGATTACGAAGATATTGGCTATGGTCCGTCCTAATATATGTTTCTTGAAGATATTATCAATAAGTTCATTAAGTTTGAGTTTAAAGGCTCTGATAATTAGATCAGGTCTATCGGAATAAGTTTAACCAGGAAAAAAGCTGCTCTTCGATTTCTCTCCATGTTGAATTACAGGTAAATGTGATGAATAAGTCGAGTTTTCCATATTTTCGGACGATTGCCATTGCATCTTGATAATTCTGTTGTGTTGCTCTAGGACTTCCTTGAAAACTTGATTGAAGTATTACAACACGTCCAGGTCTTAAACCTTCAATTTCAGCTTCATTTGCTAAATGACTCATTAGACCTTGGTATAATTCTACTCGAAGACTCTTTGATTTTGTCGATGGAATGCAGGTCGATTTTGTTCGGTTTTGACTTAAGCATCGACAATATATTGCTGGAATAATTTTCCTCCATAGTGGATGGCACTGAAATTTTGACGAATAGCCAATCGATAACTATAAAATTGAAGCATTGATACTCGTTTTCGATTTCGTGATTGATCAATTTTTTCCAATTCTGAATACCATCCTTTATCTCCGCGAGGAAATAGAAGAGAATAAGTCATTGGATCACAATGAGGATGTAAGATTGAAATAGTTTGAGGATCTTGACCACATGGATGAACAGCAATATATCGATATATTGGAACTTCACTATTCTCACCTACGAAAACTGTAGCGAATTCATTCGCTGTTGGAAGATTGTAGAGTCGCTGATCATGAATTCCACGATTAATGTCAAAAATCATTCGAAGTGGAGGTGGCGCTCGTGTCTCTTTCTTGGCTCGATCAATTTCTTCTTATTCGACTTCATGCATCATCTTGCAGGCAGTAGCAAAAGGGCTAATGGTCTTCATTATGTCACCGAGTTTGCCCATCGTCGTTTCTTTGCAATTTTCATTAGCAGCATTTTCCATCTGTTCTTTTAATGCCAAGGATAAGTTCAAAATGTAAATTTGTCCAAATTGCGCTCTCTGGCCAGGATCAGGATAAAGTGGACCGATCCGATCATAGGTTTGTCCATGAATGCAAAAGCAGCAGGGCCCAAAACCCTGTGGTAAGTCAATTTGAGCTCCCATAGATGCAAATGCAAGAGCACCATTGAAATTCTAGTTGACACCTTCCGTAAATCTGATGTAGTTCGACGAAAAAAAGGTCATAGAGAGTTCGAGAATGCCTCATTTTATAAAGAATGATTCGCTCTACAATTATGTGTGATAGAAGCAAATTTTGTGTCCAAGTTGTAGGCGGTGAAAAACTAAAGGTTTGGTTTTCTGAAAAATCTCTAGTGATCATTCTGTGTTTTACTATCTCTTTTCTGCCTAATCCATTTGTGAAACTTCCAGATAGTACTGATTCCAGTAGTAGGTATTGTTGTCGTTATATATCACACAATACATTTCCATCATATATACTGTTTGTTCGTAGAAAAACATTTTATTTAAAAAAATCCAACTTTTGGGGTTTTTCAAACTTATCGATTTTGTAACTCATCTTTTTTCGAAGAGAGAGTAACACAAGAGAAAATCTTTCCCTATCAATTTATAGTTTATCAAGTTCACTTAAAAACATGTTTCCAAAATTTTATAGTTTCACTTTTTCTTTATCGTCTGCAATCGTTCTACAAATGGTCAATACAGTCACCAAGAATGGGTAAAGGGATATACTTACTTGTTCTTCATTGCAGATATATTTGAGCTACTAAAAGAATTAAAAAAGATTTCCAAAAAAAAAGCTATAGTGATAATTCATGACGTATCTTTAAAATTTTCACTTTTATTCAAAATTCGATCAACAAGCTATCATCAATCTATGAGCCAAAAATTGTAACTGATGCGTGCCCATGGGTTGAGTTGGACTGGGCTTGAGATGAACCATTCGAAGCTCTGACTGCATCAACACACTCATCCTTGTTTTTGAAGAAATAAGTACAATTTCTGCAAATAATATGAAATTTAAAGCATAAAAATTAACTGATGTGAGGGAGAAAAATATAGTGAACAATTGGAATGATACAATAAGCAAGTCATGAAAGTTAGTACAAGCTTTGGAAAAATCTTTAAACTAGGCGATTTGTATTTTATGAAATCTTGGGAATAAGATTGGATGCGACAAACATGCTCGTACTATAGGACAATTTCTTTGTATCATCCTATCCCTGTCAGAGCCTTGTGTCATGCAACGTTAGTTGTTCCTAATAAAGAGAAAAATTTCTTACATTTGTCAATGCTGTCTTTTTTTGTGTTTGGCAGACTTTATCTGACTCTGTTCAATCTCATGAAGAAAACTAAACGGATACTGACGTATTCTTTTTCATCATAGAGTTTTTTCAATTTAATTTATTTAGTAGCAAAGTAATAAATAAAGTAGATTTTTTTAAAAATCATCAGTGCTCCATGTATTCATTATTAAAAAAAAAACATATCTGCATTTTCATGCAGCGACATCTAATATCGAATTTATTTCTATTGGTTACAATAGACAAATACATGAACTCGTATCATTTCTTCCTTTTTTTTTGTTTTCTCATTCCAGAACTAATTCATTAGGCTTACTTCTAAATTCAAACCATTATCTATGGCAACTGAAAATGAGAAAACCGGTGTTTCAGCTAGTGATAATATAGATGCCAGTAATTTCAATAATACATCACATGGTTAGTTAATTGATAAGTAAGTCAAATTTTCTAAAACTAAAACTATCTATTTTAGATATGGATATGGATCAACAAACTCAACAATTACAAAATGAAATAGAGAAAGAAGTGTGTAAACTGATCATTATTTTTTTTCTATTAAAACTTTTCATCCTTTTTTAAGATAGCTGAAAGTCAACCATTAGTAAGTGGTAAAATTCCAACAACTTATTTACAAAAAGAATATGCATCAGATGATAAAATTTATCAAGATAAAGTAGCAGTAAGTAAGATTAGTAAAAATAAAATAAAATAAAATATTATTGTTTCTTATATTTCAAACAAAAAAAAAAGGAATTAATGAAAACATATAAATATATTCGACGTACACGTGGTGATGGAAATTGTTTTTATCGTGCATTTGCATTTGGTTATCTTGAAAAAAATTTAAATAATAAAAAAGAACTCGAACGATTTCGTCAATTAACATATGATCTAAAAGATCAACTTGTTAAATTAGGTTATTTAGATTTTACACTTGAAGATGTACGAGATGTTGTTATTGAAATTATTGATAATATATATAAAGAAGGAAATGAACAAAGTTTAATAGAAAATTTTTGTTCACAATCATATTCGGATTATTTTGTTGCTTATTTACGGTAAATTATTATTTCCATATTTTTGCAAATTCGAATATAGAAAAATGTTGTTTTTTTCTTTTTTCAATATATAATAGATTATTTACATCAGGTTATCTTCAAATGAATCGTGAATTTTTTGAAAATTTTATTGAAGATGGAAAAAGTGTTAAACAATTTTGTAGTACTGTATGATTTGTTTTGTTTTTTTTTTCTTATTATTATTTTTATATTTATCAAAAACACATGTTTTTTATTTATAAAGGAAGTTGAACCAATGGCACGCGAATCCGATAATATTCATATAATAGCATTAACTAAAGCAGCTGTTGTACCATTACGTGTTATTTATATGGATCGAAGTCAACAATCATCATTAACTATACATGATTTTGCAGCTACAGATGAAGAAATGAAAGAAATATTTAAACCAATGATTACAATGCTTTATCGACCTGGTCATTATGATTTATTATATGAAAATTAATGTTCAATTAATATATTTAAAGACACCCCGGTGATTTATTTGTTACTCTATGTGGTTTTTTTTCTTGTTCTCACTTATACGATTAAAAATCCGTTTAAATAAACACGATTTTTTTCGGCTTTCATATTTTTATCTCATATTAATAGGTCTTTTTGTATTATGTTTACTCATCAAAAAGTCTCACAATAATACAAAAGTAATTATGTATATATTTATAGATGAATAGATGAATGTGTATGTATACTCAGAGCATTCAAGCGTGACTATATAACGAAAAAAAAGGGAAGAACAAGAGCTAAAAGACATAATTGTACGAAAAGGACCATTTTTTTTCTTTCATGTGTCAATATAAGAAAAAAAAACGAATACAAAAAATATCTTAAGGCGTAGTCAGGATCGTCTCTAGAGCCCCATTGGATGCCTAATGATGAGTAGAAGAAGAAAAAAATATTTTAATTGTGTTTAATAGAAAGAGAGAAAAGAAGCAACGATGAAGAAAAAACCAATAGCGGACGCGCACTACTGCACCGCTTAGGAGAGAAAGCAAAGAAAAAAGTGAGAGAAATATACGACAACGACGACAACTGTTTATTTTTTACTAAGTGTATTATCATATCACATAAAACGTACGAACACAAACGTATTTGCCTATCCACTACAACGAAGAAACATGATTTTGTTATCAAAAGTGGTAGTTACAGTAGTGTTTATGACACTAATTCTTAGTGTTGGTGCTCACAAAAACCATGTAAACGAATGGGATAGCGTTGAAGAAACCAATACTAACAGTATTAAAGAATGGATATGCCAATCTTCATGGGCTCCATACGTATTCATCTGCAAAACTGATACAACATCCACTACTACTACAGAATCAACAACTGACACTACAACAGAAGACACATCAACATCAAGTTCTACCGATAGCACATTTGAATTAGAAACTACTACTCCTGGTACTACAGATAGTACCGACAGTTCATCGTCTCCATCATCTCTTGAACGTGCTTATTGGTGTCATCTTGCTAATGGTACATATTTATCACTTGGTTATTCATTTATGCATACACCATGTGCATTATGTCAATGTACACAATTACGTTCTGTTATTTGCACTACACTTCGTTGTATGGATACTTATTGTATTGATGATTCTACACCAATTTCTAGACAAGACCAATGTTGTGCACAATGTGCATATGAAGCAACATCAACTTCATGCGCATATAATGGTATCACATTCCCACATGGTTAGTTTAAAAATTTGATATAATAATAATAATTATTAATTCTTTTTTTTTTTAATATGTATTCTATAGGTACAATCATCAGAAATATAGGAAATAATTTAAAATGCTGGTGTCAATTAGGAACAGTTGAATGTCGTAGATCTACAGCTTCCATTTTTGCAGGTTTAGATGTATGGGGAACTGGTACAGCAGTTTATATTATTATTATTATCGTATTGGGTATGTTACTCCTTGGTACATTACTTTGTTGTAGTTGTACAGCTTTATATTATTATTATTATCACCGTAATCGACATGTTGTTCAACAAGTTTATGACCAATATTGGAATAATGCTGGATGGCAACCAATGAGTGAAGAAGGACATGTTGTTGATGGTAATGCTGGTGAAAAGCAAGTACAAGCCGAACAAAATCAACAGGAATTTGAACATCCAACTGGTAATTCAGAAGCATATATTCCACCACCATATGCGCTCTACAATGGTGCTAATGCAGCTGACGAAAAGGCCAAAGATCAAAAATTTATGTGAAAAAAAAAATCATTCTACATATCATTGGATTGACAAGAGACAATCAAATGATAATAATACAATTTCTCTTTTTTTCTTCTGTTTTATTTCTCTTTTTTCTATTTTATTTATTTATTTATTTATTTATTTATTTATTTATTTTTTCTAATTTCATCAAAGCAGTTAGAAATCTGTGATAAGGATAATAATCATTGTATATGTTCAGACACTTATTTCTCATTCATATAAAGTATTTTTCTATCATAATAACAATTTCATTTAATTCAGACTAGTAGTTTAAGAAATAAATTCAGCAAAATCCATATTTATCTATTTCAATGAAATTAATCACTCTGCAATAATATACAAATTACGAAATACAAGTACGTGATGTAGAAATGAATGTAAAATTTTTGTCAGATGATATGTTAAGGATAGATCAAGTGCGACATAAATATAAAACAAAAAAAGATATCATTCTCCTCTCTCATGATTTAAGTGCGTAAAATGAAATTTTACTTGTCTACACACTCTGCTGAATCGTTGACGATCAGTACTGCAATTTTACTACACATAGTGATTCTAGAAGAGCTACTGATGAAGCAAACATTGAAATAGAATATTAGTGTCTCCGGGATATATCGAAAGGTTTGAACAGATCGATCAGACGCATTCTTGTTTGGTCACTCTAGTGATCATTGGAAGCAGAATGACTTAACAAAAATTCTATCTAAGATCTTCCATAAATCTAATATAGTTCAACGAAAAAAACATTGTAGAAAGGTTGGGAATGTCTCCTTTTGTAGAAAATGATTCGCTCTATTATTACATATGATGCAAGCAAAGTTTGTATCCGTGTTGTAGGCGATGAAAAATGGAAGGTTTCGTTTTATGGAAAATCCATAGTAACTATTCTGTGTTTTACCATCTCTTTTATAGCTAGCTCTTTTGTGAAACCTTTCGATAATATTGATACCAGTAGTAGACGAGTTTAGGACAGTTGCTCACATGGGTGAAGATATGAATGAAGAGAAAGTCCAGATCAACACTCATACACAATAGAGAACTTCGAGACCTTTAGCTCTGAACCCAGTCGAATCCGTGTTCACAAAAGCGTGAACCCATATCTCTCTAATACCTACATCTACACCCACATTTGTGAACAAGTATTCGACTCCCATTTCCATCATATATCCTGTTTAGTCGTAGAAAAACATTTGATCAAAACAAAAAAAAGTCGACTTTTGCAATTTTTTTAACTAATCTTTTTTGAAGATAGCATATTACAAAGCAAAATATTTCCTGATCAATTGATAATTTATGAAATTCACTACAAGACGACATGTTCTCAAGGTTTTTTAATTCCATGTTTCCTTTATTTTTTTGTAATCGTTCTACAAATGGTCACTTCACGAACTAAGGATGGGTAAAGAGTTAATGATTTTTTATTTACAAATAAAAATCGAAACATTTCTCTTTTCTTTACTGAAAGCAATTAGAACAATTCTAAATTAGTAAACATCTTTTTTCGTCATGACAATAAATCCTTCTCCATGTAATTCATTGTAATTTCTAGTTTGATTTGACAGTTATTAGTGACAACAATAAAGATCTTCGTAATGAAAAAACAAAAAAAGAAAAGAATTTCAATATAAATTTTAGTTTTATAACAGATCTAACGATGGAACATATTCAACTGTCGAACATTATTGAATTTCACATTATGGCTACGAGTAGGCTTCTGTAGGACTAAAAAAGTTTAAAACAAATTCGAATCCATGCTCTACTGATGAAGAATTATGACTGTTTCAATAAAATTATTATTTAGGATAAGGCATTTCCAAAAAATTCAAAGCAAAGAGTTTCGAACTGAAATTATGTTTATAGATACATTTAATAGTTTTGAAAGTTTCATCGAAAATGAAAATATCTTTATCAAGATATTCAATATCTAAAAATATAGCAGTTTACCATAGAAGGACATAGTAATCAAATCTACTTGGAAATTGCATATTTCAAGAAAGACATGTTTATTTTCGTTGAAACTTTCAGAACTATTATATGTACCTGTAGACACAATTTCAGCTCGAAACTCTATGTTTCAGATTGTTTCGGGAATGATTTGTTCTCAGTAATAGTTCTACTAAACCAACCATAACTCTGATAGTAGGTTAAACTTTTTCAGTATTGCCGAGACTTACTCGTAGCCTTCATGCGAAATCGAACGATGCCCGACAATCAGATATGTTCTCTCATAAGTAATTACTTTAATTAATAAACATTATGGTTAATGTATATTATCGGATTATTTTGATTTATGGTTAATTGATTATAGTTTGTGATTAATTGATTATGATTCAATATATGATAATTTTTAGTTACATGACATACTTACTTTTTTTATTTCATCGTTATGCATCATTTCGTTTTCAAATATATATATATATATTTTTAATTTCTATCCTAAGGTTTCATTAATGTTTATCATCTATGCCGATGATGAAGATACATAATAATTAATGTAAAACTAAAATTTCTATTGCAATTTTTTTTTCTGTCGTTTATTAATACGAGAAGAGATTGAAGAAAACTCACTTTAAAAACTTATTCTATAAGTTATCTTGATTTCGTTTCGTTTTACAGTAATATCGATAATATGTATTACGTAAAAAAAAAAGCATTTGAAGTCTATCATGAATTAACTAATACCTATGAAAATATCGATTTGATATATTTCAACATAGGAGCCTATTTAAAACTATATTCGTCTTATTAGAAAAAATTTCTTGCAATTTGACACACAATCTTTTATTTAAAAATAATTCGGATTTGACTTTTTTATACAGCAATATTGGTTCAGTGAATATAAAACTTTCTGAACTCTGAAAATCACGTTTATTCAATGAACATTCTGTGAACATTACAGAAAGACTATTAACATCAGATTACCTTGATATATTAATATATACATGAAATCTCGACTTACGAGGGAAGATTTTCAATTGATCAATCATTTTCTCATCGAAAGCTAGTGGATTATGAGTTATTGATCAGGAGAAGTTCTCTTAGGTCTTCATATGTTGATTTTCTAGACTAACAAAAAAAATCACCAAAATTGTTTATGATCTACTCATATTATAGAACATATCATCTTCCCTATAAGACAATAGTTTTTTTTCTATTTTTAAGTATGAGTTTTAAATGAAATAGTATCATCTTGAAGATTTTTCAAAGTGGAATATTGATATATATATATGTGATGTATGAATTAAAATGACTGTATTATCTGCAAAACTAACAATTTGAAACTGCAAAAGTTACTTTTTTTCCAGACAATGCGATGTACTGTATAATGTGGATAGATGGAAAAAAAAATTGTCGAAAAGTTTGTTAGTCTAAAAAAACCAATATATAAAAAAGGCGTAAAGGATTTCTCATGGTCATATTCGGAATTAGTATGGTCGATAATCTATAATCCACTAACTTTGAGTGAGAAAAAAGCGATTGGTCAGTTGAAAACATTCTCTCGTTAGTAAACAAGATTTCCAAGTATACATCTTGTAATGTTCTTAGCTATTTTTTTCCAAGAATGTTTAGTCTTTCATTACCAAATCGGGTTCGAATATATATTTTTGGATCCAACGGTCTTTTGTCGTCTGCAAAATGTGTAGGGTGTGCCAATCATCGAATACAACAGAAAACTGTGAAAAAAAGTATCTTATATATTCGGGGTGCCTATTCAATTCCGATTAAAATATTTTATTGAGAATATCACAGTACGTTTCGAATTGGGTCCGAAAATTTTGGACCCGATGGATCCTAAATTTCACTTTCATACATGTTCGTTTTTTGTCCATATTTATATTTGATGAAAAAAATTATAAAAACCACGGAAATGAAGTCGAATGACATTGATTTGGTCGAAATAAAAAATAATGAAATAAAACATGTCGAAAAAAGTTTATTTTGAGATTCTCGACCAGCAAGACAAAGATATTTTATTGCATGCAAAGAAAAAATGAGAGATATATGAGTATATCAACAAGAAATAAAAGAGTGTAGGTATCGTTGAAGAGAAGATTCATATCTCACACCAATATTTACATCCACCTCTACGGCAATGTTCAAGAACTGAGAAATAAGAATTTCTAAGTCGTCGGAGAAATGACAATTGATCATTAGCTCTATCATTCAGAAAAATCAAAGTGATCGTTTTTCTGCACTAATTTTCTTACTCATACATTCATGTTCACAAATTTCTTGATGAATATGAATGTGAGAGAAAAAACTATCGTAGATATTGTATTTTGTTTTTTATTTTAGCAACCATGAAATTGTGGGGAACTGAAAAAGAATTTCTATTTCTCAATCGTCAGACACCCTTTCTACTTCACATGATTAATGACATTTGAAACATTTTTTTTTCCTTTCGACCAAATCAATACATACCTTCTTAATCTTTAAATATGTTAATTTCCATTTGATAATTGTTAATTTCACTCATTGGAAATTTACCCTTATAGAATATCTTATGAAAATCTTTAAAAAAGTCAGTTATCCTTATACTCCATAATTTTACGATATCAAAAGTAAACCAAAATATAACAAGTCTGATTATCATTTAGTGTTCAGAACTGATTTACTAGAGAACGGCGGCATCTATTTCTTAATATAATGTATTTTTAAAGAGGCAGATGCTAGACAGCCACACACTACGATAAGGAACAATTATGGTTAGTTGACATAAACGTTTTATCATCATTAGTATAAAACAAGCATGTCGAACCTTCGAAGTACTGGGCATTTACCATTAAAAACATCAATGACAAATAAATGGAAATCTCAGTAATTTATTTTATTAGATTTATTTCTTTGATTAATAATATTTCTTTTAGAGCACCAAGTAGTGAAGTGCTTGAACGACAAACACGAGCATTAGAAGAAAGTTTAAATAAACTTAAATTAGTTATGCATCCTAATAAAACAAAATCAACGTATATATATATTTTTTTTTATAGAAA